TCTTCTGCCCACATCCTCTTCTAATGAGAACACAATGCATTTACATGGGACATTGGTCTGCATGCCATGTTTTACAGGATGGGGTTTGAGTGATTAGTCTTCTCACACATTCTTTCAAAAAATGAGTTTTTAAAGATCAGAGTAGTGTTTTTTGACCACATCCCAAAGGACAGTCTCAAAAGGCTGGCACGGATGGGTGTGTTTCACCACAAAGCTCCGAGCGGTTGAACGTAGGGATCAGACTGTGTCCATGATGTGTGTTTGTGTCCCTGACGTGGGCTGTGCAACCCTCAGACAACCACAGTTTAACAGAGAGATGCCCAGGAAAACACAGGAGCACCAAAGTCATGGTCAGAGCTGATTTCTCCATCTCTGTCAGCGCCTCAGTGTGAGTAAGAGACTAATGGTTTTGAAGGATCATGTATCTGGGTAAGTCCTGGTTAAACTATGAAATGAATGTATCTCTCACAAGTATAACGTTTGACTTTCTGCGACAGGAAAAACACAAAGGAAATGCCATGTTTTTTATAAGTCGCACCTTTTTTGCATAAATTTGCAAATGCTGCGACTTATACACTGAAGTGACTAATATACATTTCTTTCATCCCATATATAAGAAAGCATGATATTGGATTTTTGGCCGATATGCCGATATGTTAAAACGTATTTGGCTGATAACCGATACTGATCTTTTTTTAATATACCGTCCTTTGTCAGAACATAGCCCTCTTATTTAGGCTTATTTGCAACAAAAATTGTGTAACAACTGTAAGAGCTGGTGACATATATGCAGTAACAGCCATATGCAAGCACTTTGACTTATATTAAATGAAAAGAGTTAATTATTATTTATTAGCATTAGTCACCTGCGATGCTGTCTCACCTGTGGAGTATTGTTCCAGGTCCCTAGCTGCAGTGTGGGATCCTCTGCACTCTTGTGCATGAAGGACAGCCTTTTTAAGTTCAAAGTTTTTGTCTATCCATTGAGCCATAAGACTAATCGGTTGTTAGCTTCTCAAAGACATTAGAAATGACGGCTTGTAACTCGGGTAAGGGTTGGCCAGAAAAATATCTGACTGGGGATGATGTAGCGAGGCTCAACATAGTCCAAGAATCTTTGGAATCCAATATCCTCATTGAAAAAAAACAAAAAAACATCCACACTGCCAACATTTTGACTTCTTCCTCGCCACCGTGATTAGGTCAGGTAGGCGCACGTGACGTCATCACATTGTGCTGGCACTGCAGGCATCCTTGTCACTGAGTTGTCATACAAAAACAGCGTCTTTTATATCGGTGAGTTATTTTGATGGAATGGCCGATATTTAACTTTAAAATATCAACCGATACCATGCTGATAATATCGTGCATCCCTATTTACAACCCAATATTTGGCTGAGATCTGACGAGTTCATTCATTGTGACATGGAAAATATTAAACACTACCATTATCAGCCGCTAGAGGGCCCTCGAGTAATATGGCAAGCCAAGTGTCTCATTAATAGGTAAAAGTGACTATTAATGAGACACTTGGCTTGCCATACCAAGACACCTTCGTCTCGCTCCAGAACTCCTGGAGCAAACGTCAAATCAGCTGCATTTAGCTGCGCCGCCCAAGCGAACTACAGCTGATTTGATCATTAAAGTACATTTATTAAGGAAAAGTTCAACTTAGACACACCTTTACTGTAATGTCGAGCAAGCAAATAATTGTTTTAGGTGGTCATCTTGTTAAATTTTGCTAATGTCTTCCCGTGCACGCTCCCATGGCCGCCATTTGGCAGCCAATCGATTTTTAGCACAACACCGGCCCATGTTTCCAGGTGGTCAGCGGTGGCACATAATAAACGTGACGCATCAGAGGTGACACATAATAGATGCAACTTATATGGCAAAGCGACTTATTTATGTTTTTTTTCCACTTTATTAGACATTTTTGGACTGATGCGACTTATACAGCGGTGCAACGTGTACAGCAGCAAGTACGGTATGACAATATAATAATAATATACAACTATTAAATAAATAAATATAACTATTAAAAATAAGTAAAAGCTATTGTTCAGATTTTTTTTTAAGTGAGGTTCTACGGACAAATTATGATCAATTAATATCCTACCTGCTGTAGGACACATGTTTGAAGAAAAGTTGAACAACCAGACTGACAAGCCAAGTCAAAGGCCAAAACAAATCGCTGTTGTCTTGAAACAACCCCGTGTCAAACATCACAGCGTTTCATGCAAATGTCACATTTGAGAAATGATGAGGACATGGACAGCTGAATAATTGAAGATTAACAAGAAAACAATAAAAGCTGACATGACAGAAAAACAAACTTACAGACAGACGTGAGTGCCCGGAAAGCAGCAGGCAAAAACCTGAAAGACTGAAGACCCGAAACTCTTGAAAGCCAACTGACACAGCAACTGAGCATGCTCAGCTGACAGCTGGATGGAGAAATGGGTGATTACTGAGTGACTACAGCTGGGGCTGATTAGCAGATGAAGGATAGATGAGCAATGAGTTGAAGCCAGAATCACTGAGGAAAACTATGGAGAACTGGAAAACCAAATCTAGAATAAAATGAAACATTAACAACAACAATAAACTATATATATATATATATATATATATATACAGTATAGATAGATAGATGTATAGATGGCTGGATGGCTAGACAGACAGAATGAATGAATGAATGATGGAGATAAACAGGAAACACTAAAACAATACAGCATAAAACATCCAGCTCTGAGAGAACACAATTTTAAAAACCTTTACATTGCGGTCAAAGTTATATTACAGTTAGGCACCTACAATTATATAATTATTAAATGACAGAAATAGCAGTAGCAACTAGCTGTAGCACATCAGCCTGAACTGCAGGATTATATTTCTGCTGGAATAATTGTATAATGTGACACTACCATGTAAAGGTTTTTAAATCATGTTCATTTAAACAATTATAAAAGTTATCACACTTGAGTTGTTTTAAGAGGACAGCAATCCACTTTGGTTTTGGACTCTTTTTGAACTAGCCACTAGTTTGATCCAGTTAAACTCCATTTCTCCATTCAAAGAGCTATCTTACCTGCAAAATATCACTAAAATTAGAAACATCTTGTCTAAAAATGCTGCAGAAAAACTGGTCTATGCATTTGTCACGTCTAGACTGGACAGTTGCAATGGTTTATTATCTGGGTGTCCAAATATTTCTTTAAAAAGTCTTCAGTTGATCCAAAATGCTGCTGCCAGAGTCTTAACTGGAGTTAATAGGAGAGATCATACCTCTCCAGTTTTAGTTTCTCTCCACTGGCTCCCTGTCAAATTCAGAACTGAATTCAAAATCTTACTTCTAACCTACAAAGCTCTCAACAACCTAGCTCCATCTTATATTCGAGATATTACAGTCCCATATTTTCCTAACAGAGCACTTCGCTCTCAGACTGCAGGCTTACTTGTGGTTCCTAAAGTTTCCAAAAGCAGAATGGGAGGAAGATCTTTCAGTTGTCAGTCTCCTCTCTTGTGGAACCAACTTCCTGTTTCTGTCCATGAGGCTGACACATTATCCAGCTTTAAGTCTGGGCTTAAGACTTTCCTTTTTGATAAATCCTATAGTTAGGGTTGACTTGTTATGCTGCTATAGGCTTAGACTAATGGAAAACAAATTGACCTCATTTTCTTAAACAAATTGTTAAAATTCAATAATTTTCCTTAATTTGATATTATTTCTATCTTAACGTGATTCTTGACCTGCCATTGTGTATCTGTTCCTCTCAAACCCAGCCGGTCGAAGCAGACGGCCGCTTGTCCTGAGCCTGGTTCTGCTGGGAGTTTCTTCTTCATGAGGGAGTTTTTCCTTTCCACTGTCGCCTTCATGCTTGCTCAAGATGAGAGTTCTGCGATGGAGTTAAATTCAAACGAGTCTGCTCCTCAGATAAATAATGTTAAATTATTATTTTTAATAAATGAATATCTCTGTTCAGCGCCCTGAGACGACTTCTGTTGTGACTTGGCGCTATATAAATAAACTGAACTGAATTATCTAAAGCAGATAGGATATTTACTGTTCATAACTTTTCCCCAGAATCTCTCTTCTAAAGATTTCTACAAACTAAACACAGCGTGTCCAGCCACCCAAACTGGCTGCAACTATTAAAAGTTCAACAACATGAACGCATCTACAAAAGTGTATTATTGGTAGGAATGCTGTTTTTTTCTGTCAGCTGTTCCCTTCTGCAGGGAACAATACAGCAAGCAAACTCCCAGGAAAGATTCAGCAGTTGTTTTACTTTCTGATGCAATCTGGACGTGCACCCTCAGAATCACAATACAAAGGGACTGCCCACTGTGCCACCACAGCTGCATGTATCGTAATAATAATAAAAGTTGGTTGGGTTGAGGAACCTTGGAATAAGTTTGGAACAACTCATGTTTCAAATAGATCTCTATAACAATGTGAAATACTGTCCTGAACTGTTTTAAATTAACTCTGGGTTGGTTAATCTTTGCATCCTGTTTTTAATTAGGTTTACGCAGCTTCTCAAACCTCCAGGGAAACGAATGTTTTACCAGAATTTATAACATTTTAAGTACTACAGTAAGAATGTGCAATGTAAAATGGCACATTAAGGTAATGAAACAGACAATTGCACTAAATCATTTTAATAAATACAACAGCATTCCATATAGCCTCTTCACAATTAAGATTTTTTTTTTTCCATCTGAAAAACAAAACATGTATTTTTATAACAGTCCATGTCAATAAAACACTTTCATTATGTCAATGTGCTGTCCTCATGCCATCTGTACGATCCAGGCGTGGAAAAAGTCCATCAGCAACAAAATACGACTTTTTTTTTCTGGTCTCCATCATGCAATAGAGCAAACAAAAATAAATGCCATTTCCATTCTCTCAGTTAAGATTTTCTCAGTTTATCATCCAGGTACAGTACATTGTGTATGAAATCTTCATGAAAAAAGGTATATAATCTCCCCCCACCCATTCTTTTGCGTTATAAAAATAATTGTTCACACATATTCAAAATGTCCAGTGGTTTGCATAATAGTTGATTGGATCGATGTCTCTGGTCTCCATCACTATAGGCCTGCGAAATATGAAAGACAAAAACATCAGTCTCCTAGAAACCCAAATCAGACACATTAAACCACTAACTGGAATAATAACCGAGGCAATTATCGTAAAACAGCCTTTCAATATTTGAACATGTAAAAGAGAAGCGTGAGGTGGAAAATGAGGCGGCGCAGTGGAGGTTCCAGTCGCCATATTTCACAAGACGGCAGATTTCACCGGACAGCTGTGAGCTTTGAGTTTGGTTGCCGCGGCAACGCTCCAGCCTCGCCGATAGCCAAGCAGCAGCAAAAGCCGGCTCAGATCTCCCTCCAGGCTGGCACGCTCTCGCTGGGAACTGTGGGCATCTCCGAAGCCACAAGAAGGGGAACCACAGACGGCCTCAAACCAGACAGACTTTCTCCTTCGCCTAAATGTTGATGCTGTAAGTCGACGCTGTCTGGTGTAAACCCAAATGACTTCATGGAACTGGGCTTCAGCGGGCCCGTCTCCACACACATGCAGCCTCGACCAATCCCACGTCAGAGCCACTACGTCCTCCATTTAGCCTGTGACGGTAATCCACTCGGCCATAAATGAAGGCGGAGGCTTCCACGGTGGTTATTTGGGTAACATGTTATGGTTCTAGGAATGAGGTCATTTAAAGGCACCGAGGTCTTCTCAGTTTTAAGCTGTTGTGTGCAATAGCAGAAATATGGGCATTGATTTGATTAAAATAAAATTTAAATTAATTAATTACCATTTTTATGTTCAGATTCTCACCTGAAAACACTGATCTCTTGCCATCCCGTGAACCACCTGAGAGGAAAATGAATACAAAAAGTGTTACGAGTCATATAAAACATAACTCTTAAAGAGATAGTCTGGATTGTTTGAGGTGTGCTTGAGATACGAGGAGTAAACATTTAACCTGCAGTGCACACAACTCAAGGAGAAACTCTTATGGAGTCAGGCCAATTTGTAATTAATAAATAAATTCAAACTTAAAAGACGTTGTGACTTTAGTGTCAGATAGTTGTTTACAAATAAACATCTAAAGTTGTTTTTTTTTAACTGAAACACATTGTGCGGTTCATTGAAACACATTCACGTCCTATAACTTTCTGATAAAAAACTAATATGTTAAAAGTCACAATAAAATTATTTAATTAAACTGCTGTGAAACGTTAAAGCTTCTTCCTACAAAAACGAAAGTTGTAAGAAAACATATTTTTGTCAAAGTTCATGCTCAATAATCCAGGTAAAAAAATCCAAAAAAAAGTTCAGTCAGGTCATATGGACGGTTTCTTCTTTTGTTGAGATGTTTCATCCTTCATCCAAAGGAATTTGTCAGTCCGAGGAGCCACAGCAAACTCAGTCCCACAAGCAGCACACTCCCATAGTGGGCCAACCAGTTGCTGGTGATAAGATGGTTTCTGGGACCCTCCCTCTCCCCCGTCTACTCCTCTGAGACAGCTATAGCCAAAGTGGTTCAAAATATTAAAGTTTGTTGTGGTTCCTCAGACTGATGAAGTCCTTTGGATGAAGGATGAAATGTCTGAGAAAAAAAAAAGAAATCGTCCAGATGACCTGACTGAAATTTGTTGGATTCTTTTACCTGGATTAACTGGGGACCGAGATGGGGTAGAGGTAGGGCAGCTGACTCGGGACCCGAAAGTCCCAGGCTTGATCCCCCGTCTCTGCACATCTAGTGGTGTCTCTGAACAGCGCACCCCATCCCCAGTTGCTCCCTGGGCGCCCTCAACAGCTGCCCACTGCTCCACCTGGTGGTGGATGGGTGAAATGCAGAGAGCCAATTTCACCATTGTATGAGAACATACAATGATGACACATACACATTATTATTATTATTATTATTATTATTATTACTACTGAGCATGAATTTTGATGTTTTGAACCACTTTGGCTATGGCTGCTTCAGAGGAGTTGACGGGGGAAAGGGCAGGCCCCAGAAACCATCTTATCACCAACAAACTGGTTGCTCCACTATTTGGGTGTGCTGCTTGTGGGACTGAGTTTGTTGTGGCTCCTTGGACTGATGAAGTCCTTTGGATGAAGGATGAAACATCTCAACAAAAAAAGAAACCGTCCAGATGACCTGACTGAACTTTGTTGGAAAACATCTTAATATTTAAGAAATTATAAGATTGACATTTTTTCATATAGCTGGCATATTTTTGTTTTGAACGTGGAGCAGCCAATGCACGACAGGAAGTGACATCATAGGGGAACTCCCAGGTCTATGTGTATACAAACCCTGACTTGTCATATCTTTCTGATGTGACTCAAAATAATCCAAAGAACCAGATTCTTCACACCCGTTTGTGTTGTTAGCCATCATAGCAACACTGTTTGCATCACTTCTTTGTCATCACTTCCTGTTATTGTGCACGTGGGCTCATTTATCACGGACTCCATCGCGTTTTTTCAAAATAAGAGTGGACATAACGTACAATTGGCTGACTGATGGACGAGCCGCACGATCGGCATGGAATTTTTATTTAAAATGAATTGTTTTAAAATATTTAGCACATCCTGCACCTTTGTGCAGCCCACAATGCAGGATAAGCTTCCTCTGCAGAGGATCAGCTGTTCTCTGTGCAGAGCAGAAAAGTGGGCGTGGCCGAGAGCTCATATCAAGACATTCTGTCCTCTTTTAGAGCGTTTAGAGTTTAGAAACATTGTTTAGAATATTACAAGATTGTGAGAAGCATTTAAAATGATTTAAATACTAAAATAAATCACTACTTACTTGTACTACTATATCTACTTCGCAGTTTTTCACTTATTGCAGGGCTTCAGGATACCGATCCCCCACGATAAATGAGGAACTACTGTATATCTCAATAACTGTTCATCTCAGTGGTATCATTTTCTTTTTATTGGCAACATGTTAATAATGTTACCTTTCCATTAATGGATTTAGATTAATCCCAAAAACCTGATGCCATAGGCACTTTAAAGGTTTGAGTTTGACTCCAATGAGTTTTTCCGTTTCTCTAAATTGACTGCTATTACAGATTACGTATAACCTCTTGCCAAAACCTCTTTAAAAAGCATCTGTGTTGTCTCTAAGTAACCATTTCTTCACTGTGTGGACAATGCTTTCTATCCTACTAGGAGGTATATGAGAGGAAACATTAACAGGTTACCTGCATGTTTTAATTCCACATTGTTGGACAGAAATGACCAAATAAATGTCAGAATGGCATCAATTATCTCAGCCAGAACTGAATAAGCTTATAATTATGCCAATTCATTCCAAAGGCATTGTGTTTAATGCATATTGTATGCAATGTGAGCTAATCAAAAGCAGCACACACACGCCCTGTTTTTTATTTTTTTTATTTTTTTTTTATGTTCACAAATCTAACTCTTTTGTGATGAATGGGGTATAAATAACAGAAACCACCACTACAAATATTGACAAAATAATCTCCGCAGGTCGTTTCACCGTGGATGTCGGGGTGTTGAATTCATGAACGTGCTGCAAAGTATAAACATGGTTTTAGAACAAGTGAGGAAAACGACCAACTTTCATCTGTATGGTGGAATGTGTGGTTGACGCTTTGTGGAAGTTTTATAGAATAACAGGAAACGGCTCTGGATTTTCCACGATTATTTAGCTCTCAGGTCAGACACATCTGCTGGGATTCAGTTTTAGGTTTTTATTGATAATTAATGATGTGAAGCACAGCTTGTGTACAGACAGTCGTGTCAGAAATGTTAACATTCAATTTCTTTTAACTATTTATTTTTGAGCAATTAGAACTCCAATTCATTGAGTTAGCGTGCAGTTACAGATCCTAACTAGTCCAAGCAATAGTTGCACCATTTTTCTCTTCAAAGGTATCGTTTAGCTTTCTGCTACTGTTTGAGTAATGTTTAGCAAATTTTAGCTCTTGGTTTTGCTGCTTTTTGATTTTAGCTACCATTTAGCTTATTTTAGCAGTTGTTCATCCCATTTCAGTTTTTAGCTCTTGTTTTAGCTTTTAGCTAAGGTTGTATGTTACCGTTAGCTTTTCTGTATGTTTTTTGCTCCTTTTACATGACAACTTCCATTTTGTTCCTTTAAGATCTTTTTGTTTTAAACTTTAACTCAGTTTCTGCCTATTCAACTTTTTTTTATTTTGTTTGCTAACAAATGAACACGCAAAACTTCAGTAAAGTTATTCAGCATTCGTTCTGCGTATATACAGGAAGTGCTATTTCTCTAGTTTGTAGATTAGCTTCCGTTGCTTTGAAGTAGTATGATAACGTTACCATTTACAAGCATTAATGTGTTTAACCCGAGACGAGACCAAAACTTTAAGGGTCCGAGACCAAGTCAAGACCAAGACCTCAAATAAAATAAATAAAATACAAAATGTTATTATAAAATATTTTTTATAAAAGTTACATACTGCAACTCTGTTTGCTTTTGAGTGAATGTATCAGCTTTTATAAATTTTCAAAGCTACATAAAGAAATCAGACAGTCAGTGGTCTAACTTCATGTGATTCAACAATAAAATTACACAACTGTTAAATTGGAAGCAGTTTCATGCAAAACACTCTTCAGAAGTCCAAACTCAAGACCAAGGATAACCATATAGTTGCATTAGTTACAAGTATATTCTTTATGATTTAAATAGCCAAATTTTATTCCTGATAATTTGGGAGACATCTTCTCCTACGCCCAGACAATCTCTTCTCATTTTCTTGGAGTGACCAGTGTTGCCAGATAGAGTCGAGGTTTTCCAGCCCAAAAATCTGTTAAAAACCACCACATCACACAAAAACCCACCCAGTCAATATATTGTTACAGTATATTTACTGTTAGAACATGAACGCACATCAGTACAAGCCAAGGTAATTTAACAATATGTGGCAAAATGCAGCAATCCAGCAAAAATCTTCCCAGAGTTCCCAGCAAAATCAGAATGAAAATCACCCAATTTGCAGTAAACCGCCCAATCTGGCCACACTGGGCGAGTGAAATGGGGTGGGCGTGACAGCGGTAACAAACATTTATTTAGCAACGAGTCACGTTATCGATTGGATTTGAACCAGTACGTTTTGCATCCAATAAAAACAAAGATGTAAAACAAATCAACTGGACAATAATCTGGCAATTTAGTGATATTTCCACAGTTGTGGTCTTGAAATAAAATCCAGAGTCCTCAATGTCCAAGACCGAGACCATCAAAAAGTGGTCTTGAGACCGGTCTCGAGCACTACAACACTAACAAACATTATAATGTACAAAATAAATAAATAACAGAATAAAATGCAGCTTGTATATAAATGATGTCAAAGCTACAAAGGCATAAAATACGTAGTGAAAAAAGTGTACTTTGAAATCTGATTTCGAGTCTTGTCCTGACTGATAATCATTTTCACACTCACACAGTGACACACAAACCAGACTAGTGGACAGTCCTGAGGGCCCTCTCTCATACAAGAAGGTGCTTTGTCATGTTTTTGTGGCTGCCAGGTTTCTTTTCTCGTCTCTCTCCACTCTCAGAGCCTCGTCTAATTCAATATGTGCTTCATATTCTTTTCCTCAACATGCCATCACCACTGCCAAGGTTCAGAGCAGGCCCCAAAGGGTCATTAGGATAACATATCCATTTATTGTGCAAGATACACATTTGGCAAAACAACAACCCTCCAGAGGAACTAGTTGGAGGGGATGTATTTCTGTGTGACAACCATTCGCCTGCTTGATCTTTTCTTTGACACAAATTCTTGTGTCATAGCATCAGTGAAAGTTGCCTTTTCGAATCCCACATGTGGTTCATTTTCAGTTTGTGGAGCGGTTGCTGCTTCTTTGTTTACTGTAAAAACAGTTTTGTGCTCATTTGAGAAGCTTTATTCCAGCTTAGATCTTTTTTTTTTTTTCTCTTTTAGGACTAATTTATTATTTAATCAGAGTTTTAGCTAAATAAAGATATAATGTTCAGGGTGTGGCTGGTTGTTGGGAAATATGGCTAAAGATCAATGCAGCGCACCGATCCAGAACAAGAGGAGTTGACAACTAGATGCCAAATGACGTTAGGATTGAAATTTAATCGTCTCTTTGAAAAACTTCGGGGTCCAGAAAAATGAGGAACAGATACTTTTTCTGCATATGTAAAGGAAAAAGTTTAAATATATTTACTGACATATTAAATTATTTGCAAACCTTTCAAACCTTGTGGTCGAGATAAAACATTTTGCAAACAAAATTTAGTAAAAATTGTCGTTTATTCCATTGTAAGGAGATGGCTGTTCTTTCCTTGATAATAATATGAATATAAATGGTTTTACAGAGCCTAAAGAGATGGTTCAGTAGTTTGTTTTTTTGTGGCGTACATATCAGTAGTCATCGTCTTACCTGCAGCAGACAGCAGTCAGAGCTATCTCAGTTTGGAAAGTCAATGATAAACTTTCCTGTGTGAGTTAAGGCTAATTTATTTCTTCATAAATTCTTTGTTGCTGGTAAAGATTTTGTGTTTGCACCGCCTCTGATAACTTTGCACAACCCCCTGAACTATCGCTCGCCAAGTAAGTGCCAAGTATTGTGTGATTGGTCAGAAATTCATTGGCCTGTTTATGCAGGAAAGCGGCAGAGGTGCTCTCATTTAGCTTCTACAGCTCTGCTGAAAGCGGCTGGCTGGCCAACTGCGCCAGCAAAACTTATCAGAATAGTCAAATAAAACTTATAACGATAGTTAATGAACGTGGAAGGAGACAGAGTGGTGGCACTGGTGGCACTGGCAGCTCTCTGTGCTGTCCAAGAGGGAGTGCCCCTGAGTCGGGCAGCGTAGGGACACATTCCTGCATCATCTGATGGAAACCGTGCATCTTTCTGACAAATTTGTAAAACAACGCTAGTTCTTGGTTACAAGAATACGAAATCTTCCTCCTCCAACTGCGCCATCATTAACTGTGAATAAATATCCACTCTGCCAACTGTGCTGTCGTGTGAAACGTCTTTAGGAACAAAAATAAATAAAATTTCTCACATCCACGATCAGTGAGACAGGATGCTTTTTGTCAGGTATAAACCCACCTTGTAGGCTAACTGCTGCTCAAAAAAAGACCCATTGAAGAGGGAACTTTTTTCATCTAAAACAACTCAAATTCTAAATTAAACCAAACTCCATGTTTTATTTTTTACAGCCATAATTTTTGACTGAGACAGTTATGTTGTCATCATTTTCTCAACTGAACAATACGTTTCTGTACATATGTAGCGACATGAACGATGCTGTTGATGAACTGAGCCTGTCAGTGATTGGTTTGTCCTTTTAAAACAAACAGTAGTCCCTTATATTTTCTGTCACACAAGAAATCCTCTCGTCTCTCTGAGAACAGCATGCTGCATCTGCTCTGTATGATGTAAAAATGAAAAGGGGGGGATATATTTCATTCATCCATTATCTTTTACCCGCTTCTTCCTTTTTGGGTCGTGGGGGTCACTGCTGTCCATGTCCAGCTATCACTGTGTGAGAGGCGGGGGACACTCTGGACAGGTCGCAGGTCCATCACAGGGACACGCAGAGACAAACGAAACAAACAACCATTCACTCTCTGACTTACACCTAGACACAATTTAGAGTTACCAATCAGACTAACATGCATGTTTTGGGTCTGTGGGAGGAAACCGGAGTACCCGGAGAAAACCCACGCATGTACGGAGAGAACATGCAAACTCCACCCACAAGATTTGAACCAGCGACCTTCTTGCTGAGAAGCAACAGCTCTACAAACTGAGCCACTGTGCCGCCTGTGACAGTCTACTGCAGGTAAAATAGTAAATATATATTAAAGCTCCACACAACCTTTTATTATGATAAAAGCCCTTTAAATCTTGTTTTTTGGTCTATTTACAGTTCTTCTTGGTCTTGTTTTTCTTTTTGTTGTTCTTCCTGTTCTTGTTCTTTTTCTTGTTGTTGTTGTTTTTGTTCTTGCTGTTCATTTAAAAATAACTAGAGGCTTAAATTTAGCGACATGCTAAGCATTGATAAAACAGCCTAAATCTGACATCTCCTCAGCAGATCTCAGTGAAATGAAAAGTACTTAGTTCCACTCTGGTGAGCCTCTGACTCGTACTGCCACGTGCATTTCTCCGATTTACAAAGCAGAACATTCAGTGATGATCTTATTCTGTCATGTTTAAAGCTGCAGTATTAAGTTTATCGTATTGCAGCCAGGTCATTTTCTGTAAAAAGATTTAAATCGTTCAATAACAATCAATCATGTCTATAGAGTAATTCCTGAAACAGATTTTTTTTTTTCTTACATGATGCCAGGAACTTTACATCTCTGTTTTAGAACACATCCAGGATTTCACCCATCAGTGAAATATGGAAATTTCCTGCCCCTGTGTTCTATTTAGAAAGTATTCAAGAAGTTGTTTCTACTTTAATTCAGTTGGGATTTATCAGGGTAGAGTGACACGACGAAATGAGCCAGTTCAGGAAGGTAAAAACATTAAAGAGCGGAGATTTGTGAGCTGTGGATTTGCCTGCGAGACCGCTTTTGAAATAACCCGTGAATAACTGATTTCTGCTGTAACAAGAGTCCAGATCATCAGAGAGACAATCAAACACAGAGTAAAAGAACAAGAAAATAGAGAGTGAAGCCAGCGGAAAGTAAATGACTCACTCTTATCCTGTTCTGGAGGCTCCAGGATGTCACTGTCTGTGTCACTGGGAACATGCCAAGGCTGTCTGATGGCCTGTAACTGCTGGTAAAACTCATCCTGAAATGGAAAAAGAACACAGCGCCAGAGAGGTGATCAAACACTAAAATTATTTATATTTTGTGTAAATAAGCAAAAAAGAAACAGGTGGGAGGGAAAAGTTAAAGAATCTCAACAGTCTAGGCATCTTCAAGTTTCCTATTCTTACAGGTATTACTCAGGACATGTCGAGTTTAGACCTTTTGAAGTGGGGTCCTGTGGAAATGTTATGCACATTCAGTGTCTTACCTGTTATAGATAACTTTATTTGGAGAGTTTACTTCTTACTGGTTTGGCAAGCTAACAGCTAACCAGAGCAAAGCCTAAGTGGATTGTTGCTATTCACCAAAGTCCATGCTCAATAATCCAGATATACAATCCAACAATGTTCAGTCAGGTCATCTGGACGGTTTCTTTTTTGTGCCGAGACGTTTCGCCCTCCATTCAGAGGGCTTCATCAGTCTGAGGAAACACCAAACAAAACTGATACTCCCCCAACAGCTTACTCCAAAGTGGAAACAAACAGTTATGTTGGTACTGTATCAGAGCAGCTACTATTTTTACACATTTTCTGAAATGAAAACTACAGTTTTGGATCTGACCAACTGGACTTTCGACGCAAATGACAAAATCTTTTCAACAAAGCGACAGGGTCCTGGAGAACCCTCATCTGCTTGGACGACACGCATGCAGATGGATATATCTCTGGGGAAGTGGAATGTGCTGCGTCTACCTCTGCTGTCGATCGAGGGCGCCAAAATGCATATAACTATTTATGATAACAGGTTTCCTGTTTTTGGAATAGTCTTGTTCCTGGTTTATCAACGTACAAAAAAGACGGCCGGAGCTAATTTGGCCCTCGTCCGGCTACTGCCTATGTGAAAGTTTGGTTTGTGCTTTGAGGACTCAAAATCAGCTGATTTATGAGCTAAAACGTAAGATGGAGTGATTTGAATTTCAGGCCACCTGCGGCTTTGGGACTCGTCAGCATGAAAACGACCTTGAAGAGGCTCGTAAGCACGGACCAGTAGAGTGCACTCCTATCTGGCCATTTCAGACCTTGGAAGTAGTAAGACTCAAGGCTGACAAGAAAAAATAATCTGCCTGAATAAATCAATTGCTGCGATTATTAAATAACTCCAAATTTAAAAGTGTCAGAGTAACTTATGCAAACACAGTTTTAAAACTTTTACCCTTCTTCCAGTTCAGTAATAAGCACATACTCTGGCAGAAATACTTCCATCCATCCATCCATTATCTTTACCCGCTTATTCCATTTTGGGTCACGGGGGTCACTGGTGCCCATGTCCAGCAATCACTGTGCGAGGGGCGGGGTACACCCTGGACGGGTCGCAAGTCCATCACAGGGACACATAGAGACAAACGAGACAAATAACCATTCACACTCTCACTCACACCTAGGGACAATTTAGAGTTACCAGTCAGCCTAACATGCATGTTTTTGGTCTGTGGGAGGAAACCGGAGTACCCGGAGAAAACCCACGCATGCACGGAGAGAACATGCAAACTCCACCCAGAAGGCACCTGGACCGGGGTTTGAACCAGGGACCTGCTCGCTGAGAGGCAGCAGCTCTACCAGTTGCGCCACCGTGCTGCCGGCAGAAATACTTGTATTATGATATTCCTCATGAAAATTCTCCAGGCTACACCTGATGTACTACAGCTAGCTGGTGATGTTGCTAAGAATGGTTAAAAGTGGTTTGAAGATGGGAGAAGCTTGATTTGCTTTCTTTAAGCGCATCATTCTGATCAGAATTAAACAATTTCATTGAACTGACATTTGACAAAGATCTATCTACAACAGGTAAGATATTCATTTTTCAGAATTTTTCAATTGAACCTCCTTTCAAAAGCTGTGAATGATCAATTCAAGCTCTAACAAAGGCACATCTTGAGCAATATTAAATTGTAATTATCAAGCTTTGAAGTGTGTTTAAATTGTAAATAAAAATATATACATTTTTTGAATTACTTAAACTTCCTAAAAGATATGTTTAACTGGAAACAATAACAGATGTAGACGTTGTGGTAAAGTATGTTCTCTTGTTTAGAAAAAAGAAAAATATTAATTTGATGTTTATAGCAGTAGAAATCCTTGAATGAATAAAAATTGACAATTAACAAACAGCCAGTTTGTGCATTTGCTTTTCTCCATCCTAAATACTTGGCGAGTTGTGTAAGGTTTATGCAACACAGTAGTGAACGTGTTTTCATCCGAGTTGTTTTTCACAGTTTTAAACGTCTCACTTTCAGTACCAGACTCCTTCTGTTGTTGCACTTTAAACAGTTTAGTGACTGGGTTAAAACGGACGACTGTTTTATTTAAAAATCAATTTTACATAATGGTGCCGCAAAAAAAAACAACGGTTTGTTAAAGTAAAACATATAAAATCTGATCTTTTCAACCTGAAATTTCAGAAGTTGCCACATGAAAATAAGTATTTATGCAAAATTTGTATACTTTTACTGACAAATCCAAATGGATAAATTGTTCTAACGCAACAAGCACAAACCAATTTATTCAGGTATGAAGTTTATGAATTTTTATGTTTGGCGTTTTAAGGCTTTAGTTATTCAATAAGGGAACAGGTGGCCTCAATAAAAGCCGACTGGGTGCACAGGAATAAGGTTTTGGATCATGTCACGAGGTGTCAACTGGTATAACTGTCAAAAAGTATCCAAAGAGGCCGTAAAGCTACTGGCCGTCATTAGGAAAGCCTTCAAAAATGGCTTCGATTTAACAGGGCTGCTGTTAAGTAAATCATGAAAGGAAAATATGAAAAGAGATCCCTCTGAACGTAGTCCTTTAATGCCAGGCTCATTTTTCCACAATGAAATGACATCCTACTGTACAGACCTCCACGGCTCTCCACAAAACCCCACACGAAGTATGTGTGTGTTTGGTAGGGTCATAGAAAAGCTCACACTTAATCTGTTCATGTTCACGTTCCGCAGCTTTCCTGGAAATGCACTTTTTATCTTATTTTACTCAACTTTCTCATGAAGTGGGTCAGTTTATCAAAGGTTTATCATGTTTAAACCGGGTTGAGCTATACTTCACTGCAACAGTAGAGACAACTTGTCACATAAAGGCTATTTCCATTTCAAATAATAGTTCAGAAGTGGGTATTTTCTGTTCTGCCACACAAAAAGCTACAGCCAAGAGACAAAGACTTGTTACAGAGGCACGAGAAACCAGCTAGACTGTTTCTGTCTAGAGGTTAAGTAAATACACAAAAAGTAAGTGCAAAAATAACAATTTGTGGTTTATGTGCTGGGCTTTTTGTCTGCCTGGCTCATACTTTCTGGAGTCTTGTCATGACTATCTTCAGGCAGTCACTGCGCCGTGCCAAAACGTATTCTGTCTATGAAACGGTCTACAACCAGGAATGCATTTTCACATCCCCCACACAAATTTTTTAAATAGATTTGTAAAACCATAATGCCCATACAGAATATTGTTCTTCCTAGAAAAGGTCGAGTTCACCGTTTAGGGTTTTATGCTTGGATAAGATAACTGGTGGGTTTTTATTTGACAAAGAGATATGGAAGAAGTGTTTACTCTCTTTTTTTTCAAATAAGACTATTGTTAGACGTCTTTACGGAGTTCGCTTGTAAGAAAAAAAAATTCTTTAGGACAAAAGTTGCAACACTGCAACACATTTTTGTTGCATTTTAAAATAAAAGAAACTGTGATACAGTATAAAATCATGCAACTACACTAAAGGATGTGATGTGATACTGTACAATTCAATACAATAAGATGCAATTTGAAATACATTTTTGTAATATATGATATAATATGTTGGAATGCAATAATATATGAAGCAATACACATTGCAACAGGATATAATGTCATAAGATGAAGTATGATACAGTGCAGTATGGTATGATATAATGCAATGCAAAATAATGTGATGTATTGTGATGCAATACGATATGATGGAATATGATATATCGTCATCTGATGTGGTTTGTCATACGATGCAATATGATACAATGCAGTACTGAGCAATGTAGTATACCGTATTTTTCGGATTATAAGGTGCATTAAGCAAAACAAAACAGCCAGATAAGTCACTTTATTCATCTCATTCATAATTTCCACATAAAAATCGATTTGAGGTCAGTAAGCACAACCAGAATTAATACACAAGGAGCACCTGATTATAAGGCTCACTGCCGATTTTTGAGAAAATTAAAGGATTTTAAGTGCGCCTTATAGTCTGAAAAATACGGTAATATAATGTGAGGCAATAGATTATTATGCACAATATTGTTGCCTTGGGGAAATTTATTTTTGACTCATTGTCCCAATAACTTCCTCCACAAACGTTCTATAAAGAGACTTTTAAATCAATCTTGAACAAAACAAATGAGTCACTAGTGAGATAAAATGCACAATTATCCACAACACTTTCAGCTTTTAAAGGTACCAAAATATGAATAACTCAGCTGAGTTATGCACCAAGGTTGAAAGCTTGTTTCTGTTTGGGGTCTTACCTCAGACAGATACGCCCGAAGACTGGCACCAAGGCTGTCTGTGGTACTTAAACCTGGAGGGGTGAGCAGCGGTCGAGGCAGTATAGGCTGACATGTGGGCGTCACAGGGCGGCTTCGAGACCTCCTGAATGTCACCTCTTTATGAGATCCAGGGTTAAACGTGGAGCGTGTCAGTAAGCTAGTAGGGGTTAGAGGCTTGCTGGGGGTTCTGGGGGTTTGAGTCCTACTCCCGGGGTTGCTGGGAGACTTAGTCCGACCCATGGTCAGGGAGGTGGGCTTGGGGCTCAGCAAGGGGAGATTAATGCCATAAGGGTTGGCTGAGAAGCTGGGAGACTGAGGCCTGGAGACGAGGCTGGCCAGAGGAAGCGTGTCAGGTAGAGCACGGTGACGCAATGGGTTGTGGAGCAGACCGCCATGTGGATTGTTGGAGCTCCTAGTGGTCATCTTTCCTACTTCTGCCAGTTTGGCCAGGTCCTTTTCAACCTCTGTTGAAGAGAGAATAAAAAACATCCAAACATCACTCAATACACAGTTTTAAAGACAAAAAGTATAAAAAAGAAGACTTGAGTGCTCTTTGGTATCAAAAACATAGTATTACAGGGGAAACAAGCAGTACGTAGATGTCCCCCATTTTCAAGATGAGTTCTTTTCTGTGCTGGAATTTAACTGGGAATGCAAGTAACCCTTACAGTTTTTGTTGCAAGATCAAGTGGGTAGGAGTTGGAATAGAGGTCGGTTTATTGTTTTTGCTTGTCCGAGGTGGCACAGAGGGACAGATCTTTGAGAGTGGAGGGAGCATTTTTATCCAGTACCACTTGCAATGGCGGAGCCAGTGGGTGGCCAATGGTGGCCACCTCACCAGCCATCCATTATCCATTTCGTTCCGTGACAGGGGACAAAAAGAGAGATAATAAACGATAAATCGAAAAAAATATATTTTTTGTTTAAAATTGACGTTTATCACAGATTTTATTTTATCTTTCCCAAATTGAAAAAAATGATCAGAGTTTTCATCCATTTGCGACAGTGCCTGTAAAACTCTGTACAAATCCCAGATGACCCTCCAAGATTCCACCATAACGTCAGCTCTGCTTTTCATCAGAGTTCAGAGGCCACGAAAGGAAGCTGGTCCGCATCCCGCTGGACAGATGATTCACAAATTTTACCGAGCATTAAGATAGGCGCGACTGCTCGCTTTAATCCTTCTTCTGGGTAATGATGACAATATTTACAGCTCTTGTAAACCGTGATGAATCAAGCTTCCCCCTAAAAAAAATAAAAAAAATAAAAAAAACTGATAGCAAGTTCAGAATGGAATATTTTTCCATTTTTTCTAGGAAAACAAACTTGTTTGTTTCCCTGGTAGTTTAAGTAACAGTGTCTGTTTGAAAAGAACTGACAGTGCCAACCTCTGCGATCAACATCTGGGTAATTTTCCCCAACTGTTATGCTTTTGTTTCAAATGCTGGCAATCCGAGTTCAACAAACCTGTCTGGGACTTATCATCGGAGAGGCATAATTTTACGACTGAGTCATCGGGAGTGAGTCTTTCTGCAGAGCTGTATATGTGTGGTGTCAAATAAAACAAAAGCAAGCATGACAAGTATTTCATAAACCTTGACTTCCTTGTTTTTGAGCAAATGGTGCTTCGCTCCCATACAAACAACATTTTTCCATGTGACAATTTGAACCATATGTTCCTGCTCGCTGACAGATACCCATTTAATATGCAAAGTAGAAAACAACTCATACATTTTGCATTGAAAACCCCTCCTTTAATGTCAGTTTGCACATCTGTTTTACAGCATTATTCAATATTCATGAGTACATTCATTTATTTGACAATACAAATAGATTTATTGTGTTTAAAGCTTTTCTCTGCTCAATAATCTGGTTTATTTTCAGGAGATAGAAAATTCAGTTTAATGTTAACTAAGCTGATGAGCTCTGTTGGTGCACAGTCCACATGATGACAAGTAATTTAACTGGAACAAGGAACTGTAATTAGCCGATTCCCCTGCACAGCTCCTGACCTTAAGACCGTACTTGTCGCCGTACACGTCGCATCAGTCCAAATATGTCTAATGATGTGGAAAAAATTAATATGTTGCGTTGCCGTATAAGTCGCATCTATTATGCGTCACCGCTGACCACCCAGAAACGTGGGTCGGTGTTGTGCCAAAAATGGATTGGCTGCCAAATGGAGGCCGCGGCGCGCATGTTAAGACTTTAACAAGATTTCAACAAGATTAACACTTAAAAACAATTATTTGTTTGCTCAAAATTATAGCAAAGGTGTGTCTCAGTTGAACATTTCCTTAATAAATGCACTTTATTGGTCAAATCAGCTGCATTTTCAAAAATGGATTTGTGGAAGTCAGAATGCGCAGAGGGACGACTAGCTGTGCATTTTCTTGAAATTTAACAAGATAACCACCTAAAAACAAATATTTGTTATACAGCCAAGTGTTTCATTAATAGCCACTTTTACCTATTAATGAGACTCTTGGCTTGCCATATAGGTCGAGCGCCCTCTAGCGGTTGAAAATGGTAGTGTTCAATATTTTCCATGTCAGAATGAATGAAATCGTCAGATCTCAGCCAAAAATTGGGTTAAAACTATGGGGAAAAAAATCTAAATAAGTCGCTTTGTCGTATAAGTCACGACATGTAAATGTATGCAAAACGTTGTGACTTATAGTGAAAATTATGGTAAATTAATTCCTGTGAAACAAACCTGCATGATACTTAAATACATTTTACACACTATAGTCTAAAATAAACCTGTTCCACGTATGATTTCCCAGTTTCACGTCAAACCCACCCACACCCCGTTAACTGTGAGTGTGTGATTATATTCTGCTGTAAACAGGATACTTTCATTAGTCATTTATTCCAGTAAAATTCATCTCGAGATATTTATAGTTCTAATGATAACACCACATGTTTTAGGTTGTGTAAATCTCACCCATAAATGGTCACTCTACTCTTGAACTTGTAAACCATTTCTCCTGACTTCCTGACATTAAAGAGGCACAGAATACCTTTAGAAATTCTGTCGATAAGCTGTCTTTCACAGATGTTTCCATAAAGCGACGTGAGGAAAGAAATGCATACAACAAAATTTAATATATGGCATGAAGTTTTGATTCAATTTCAGTAAGAAAAATGAATAAAAACAAAAGGAGAAGATGGAGCAAACAGACCAAATCTATTAAAGTCTTTGATCAGGGAGCGGTTGAACATGGTGAGAGAATACACAACCACTGCACGCAATAAAACCATTTCAAATGCATGCACTCTTTATTGGGTCCCTCCTCTGAAAATAAACAAGATCACTAATGACATATTTGCCTGCAGTCTTGCATTCATACCCAACACTGCTTCCCTGAATGAACTCAAACACAGCCTTGATGTTCTTGAATCAGCAGACAGACTTTTCTTACAACAGAATTTATAGTTATGTGTTTATCACGGCATTAATTAACACCTGTAAGACAAAATATTATGTTTGAATGTTAAAAAAAGTTTAAAATGATGCATATTCTTAGAGTGTGTTGTATAAAAATAAAGACATGATCGTCGACGTAAAGAAAAACGAGATGGAAGTTCATGACATGAAGCTAATCAACTTGAAAAGGCGAATTCATTTTCCAAACAAAGTCAACGAGACGTCTGCAGACGCCTGAATATTCAGTACCAGCGTGCAGCTGAAGTTATTCTTAGCACAAATGTTGCAGTGCATTCTTCAAAAACTCACGCCGTTACGTTTACAGAAAAGCTGCATGTTCACGTCACTCCTCCAATATGCTTCAAATAAGACAGGCGTGTGAAGGTCTGCTCAAAGCCCTAACACAGTGTGAGGCAGTCAAACGGAGGGGAAGACATGCATAAACAAACAAATGCATGACACATGACGCTTACATGGCGCCGTTCCCCCTTGCCTTTCATCTGATTCATAAACCGTACTTGACCTTTATGACAGCAACTGACTCACCCGGACGTCACACGTGTCAAAGATGAGCAGCAGAATGAATAATATTGTCCGAGCTGCTTAAAAAAATGGAAGCTTTATGAGAAAATACTAGTTTTTCTGCACAAATGGGCGTTAATTAACTTAGCTGGATTTAATAAATGAATATAAATATTCAATTTAAACTCAATTCAAAAATACTTTATTAATCCCAGAGGGAAATTAAGTGTTGTCGTAGCTCATCATCTTGGTTTCGTTTAAGAGTTGTTATAGATGCTGAGCAGTGGGCAGGAAGGATCTCCTGCAGCAAATTCAAAGAATCTGGCCACAGATACTGATCCATGCACCTGGATCCAGCTTGCTGTCAGATCTGGCGGACCTCTCGGTCCTCCTGGGTAGCAGGACTGCCCGACTGCTGGGTAGAATTCCTCCCTGAGTGATGGTCACTCCTCCCAGCAGTCTGACGAGCTTCTCATCACCACGGACAGACAGGTGGTCAGGTACTCGAGTACAGCCACCAGGTTGATGGAAATTCAACCACGGTGCCTCCTTTTCAAATCATTTGGGGCTGTAGCTGATGTATTTGAGCTTTTGAGATGTTAATCAGCTGCTCCTGGTTGTTAAAAAACACCTTGTCGCCATGGCTACGCATCATAACAAATGCCCAAAAGTTAAAAGGTTTCTATAAAAATCCTTCCAGCTGCGCAGCATCCAATACCAGAGGAAGTAATCATCTGAAAAAAGTGATTTACATCCAGAAAAAAGAGGAATTAAAGATTTCAAAAGCAATAACTCAGAATGAAAGTAACAGAGCTACTCCAACATGCAGCCACCCCGAGCGGCGCAGTTCTAGAACTAGAACAATTAGAGCTGTGATGACATTTAATATTAAAATGTTAGGAAATGATTAAAAAAAAAAAAAAAAAAATGAATGAACACAAATAAACTTTAACCTGAATATAAACGAGGATTAGGGATCCCAGATGTTTATTAGTTTTACTTGACATTTTACATCAGGGTGTGCGCAGAAAAACGTGTGGTAAGAACAGAAAAATGGATTTTGTTGGTATTTTCTTGTGGAAAAATTGAAACTTTTTTCACATCATGCCACTGTTCCAATGTGAAAGCATTTTGGTCTGAAGGGTTTTATGGGACTTTAAAGATTGTGAATCCATGTTTACCTCTTTGTCAAGCAGCTGCTAAAATAAAAGAAAGTTACAAAAAAAAAAAAAAAAAAACTTCAAAGCTCATGCTCAATAATCCAGGTAAAATAAACCCAACAAAGTTAAGTCAGGTCCTCTGGATGGTTTCTTTATGTTGAAACGTTTCGTCTTTCATCCAAAGGACTTCATCAGTCCGAGGAGCTGCAACAAACTCAGTCCCATAAGTAGCACACTCACTTAGTGGGCCAACCAGTTTTATGGTGATAAGACGGTTTCTGGAGTCCGCCCTCTCCCCCATTGACTCCTCTGAGGCAGCCATAGCCAAAGTTCAGAGGTGTCTTCTCCCCACCTCACGAGCACTAGAGCTGTATTTTGACATCTCCACAGGAGCTTTCCTCTGACAGAAGAAAAATGTCCAGGTCTAAAAGCCACACTGATGAACAGTTATTGAAAAAGTCAAGTCAAATTTATTTATAAAGCACATTTAAAACAGCAGCTGTTACCAAAGTGCTTAACAATAAGATCAAAGCAGTAATTAAAGAAAAAATAACAACAAGATGTAATTAAAATCATTAAAAAAAAAAAAACATAAAACCACAAAAACAATGAGAAACAATGAAATACTAAATCAAATCACGCTGTGGTAAACGTCAGAGAAAACAGGTGTGTATTTGGAGAGATTTAAAAGCAGGGAGTGACGTGGCCTGTCTAATGCTGAGGGGCAGATTGTTCCAAAGTTTAGGGTCCATGACTGAAAAAGCCCAATCTCCTCTGAGCTGCAGCCTGTTTTTTGTACAACTAAGAGCAGCTGGTCAGTTGATCTCAGCACCCGAGAAGGAACATGTGGTTGAAGTGGGTCAGAAAGGTATGAGGGCGCAAGGCCATTAATGCACTTAAAGGCGAACAAGAGAATTTCAAAATCAATTCTGACACATACAGGGAGCCAGTGAAGAGGACAAAACTGGTAAAATATGCTCCAATCTGAGAGTTACTGTTAAAAGCCGAGCTGCAGCATTTTGGACGAACTGGAGACATGAAAGGGATACCTGACTGATCCCAACATAGAGAGCGTTACAGAAGTCTAACCAGACTGTAACGAATGCATGGACTATTTTTTCAAGGTCAGATCCAGTCAACGTTAACTTAAGCTTAGCTATCTGCCATAACTGGAAGAAGTTTTTTTTTTTTTTTGTAGAACAGAGTTAATCTATTTATTAAACTTAAAGTCAGAGTCTAAAACCATCCTGAGATTTGTAACAGACTGCCTAAGATATGGATCAAGAGAGTCAAGGTTAATAGGAACAGAGACAGCAGTAGAGCTAGGGCTAAACACAATGACTTCAGTTTTCTGATCATTGAAACTTAAAAAGTTTGAAGCCATCCGTGCCTTAATGTCATCAAGACATTTTAACAGAGGGTGGACTGTGCATGAACTATTTGGTTTAAAGGGCAAAAAATCTGAGAATCATCAGCAAAACAATGAACTGAAAGATCATGTTTCCTCAGGATAGATCCCAAGGGGAGCAGATACAATGACAGCAGAAGGGGTCCAAGAATCAAACCCTGTGGGACCCCACAGGAAAGAGGCACTGACGCAGATACACTATTTCCAACTTTAACACAGAAACTCCTGTTACTTAGGTAAGAATGGAAAAAAAGTAGTCCAAATTTGCCTATCTTCATTTCAAAAGTATACTCCAGCAGATTAAATCATAAACTTGGGGGCAGCTGATGAGTTGCGTACAAAGTGGACCGAGACAGATACAATGTTGGCAACAAAATTATATGCAAATGTTTTGCAAACTGTGCACATGGCAATAAGTTGTGACTTTCAAAAACTGGCTTACTGGTTGCTTAGTCACAAATTCAGTGAGACTACAAAAGTCAATTTGCCTATTTTCTTGCAATTTTGAGCCACCAGCCAGTCTGCTTCCAGTCACAACCCAGTGAGCTTTAAATGGTTTTGTCAAACTAGAAGAGATTTAAATCTAATAGCTTTTTCCAAATGCCAAAAGGTGAGTTGAAATTATTTTTAGTTTTAAAATTGGAAGGTACCAAACTGGGTTTTGATATTAAAAATGTATGTACAAGTTGTGTTGTTTGATAGAAACAACGAGTTTTTCATGTTTTACCGATTGATTTGAATAAATTCCTTCACAAGGATAAAATGTATGATTGCATGATTACTGAAATTTTGGGTTAAATTAAACAAGACAAATCTCTGACAAAAAGTAGTTTTTTTTTTGTTTTTTTTGTGGTCAGACTCAGAATAATATTTCAGCTTCAAAAATGGTGATTTACAATGTGTTTCAATATAAGCACACGACAAATAAAACTCATTTGGATTCATTAAAGCCACAAGTCGCACAAAAAGCACCTACCAGCGAGCTGTTTGCCCATGTTCTCCAGCTCTTTAGAAAAGAGGGGGTCGCCAAGCAGCAGGCCCGTCTGCCCCACAGAGCTCCCACCTCGCACAGCCTTCAGATCAGCGTCCCAGACAGCCTGACGCTAGTTAGTGACGAGAACAAGGGGGGGTAGAGAGTCAGTCACATTAGAAGAAAGACCCTTCAATTAGCTCTTTATATATAATTTTCAGCTAATGCTGAAAATATCTGAGCCATATCTGCAGAGGAAAAAAAAGAAGCCAATTATTATTTCATGGGGTTTAAAAAAACACGAGAAACCACAGCAAGTGTAGATGAAAGCTTACAGCACGGAGGGAACTTTGTTAAATGAACGTATGCAGCGAGACAGTCAGTAGTGGTTCAGAACCACATTTTTTTAATAACTATCAGCAGGGACTTGCATGCAGACTCGTGCGTTGGCATAGAGCCTGTCAACAGCAAATTGTGCAATGACGATAAAGCAGCAATAAATTCGGAATTGCTCCCTTGAGAGCGCACGGAGTCTTCAAAAGTGTAAAAAGCTTAATTTTTGGCAATTTTTCCTCACTCTACTCCTAGACAAAGTGTACGATTAAGAAGAAAACGTGTCCGCTTTGCCAAGTCCTGCAATGGCAGCATGCCTATTCCTACAATTTACTCCTTTATGTGGCCAGATGATGTGTAGAAGTAATACAAAGTGCCCGTGAGCTCCGAACGCAGGTGAGAAATAAAACTTAACAGCCAAAATTCCCCCACCTGTTTGTTTAGTTTACACATGATAAGTTATGATACCTCGAACGCCAGCACTTACATCATCTGATATGTGAGGCTTTTAATGAGAAACAGAGCTGACTTGACTAAGTACTGACACAGAGTACGCTTCAGGAACATCTGGGGATGAACTTTTACTGCATTCTTTGAGTGATACTGATGTGCCATGCGATGATTTACAAAGTGACTGAATTTAATGCGTTGTCATTTCACATTGAGACTAGCACTTAAAAGAACAGACAGTGACGTCACAACTTTATGCCTTTTTTTTTTAATTCCACGTTTTTGCTTATAATAAATCACAGAAAGTCTTTGATTCCAGCGCAGTCTGTGAGCTGGAAGCCAACAGACAGAACAGATGAAACTTTGCCAAAAATGTTGAAAGAAACTTGATGAACTGGCTGTAAATGCTTAGGTACTAGTGATGCTTATGTTTAGCTGGTGTCCACTTGGTCAATGTTTCACAGCCTTTAATGCCTCTTTTCCATTAGTACCTTTAGCACCGGTACAGCACGGTTCTACTTGGCTCGGTGGTACACGTTGTGTTTCCATTATGCTTTCAGTACCGGTTCCAGTGGGCGGGGTTCAAATTGATGTCTCGTGCCTCACCAGCTGGTGGCGGTGAAACGCTGAAACAGGTTTCAATACAGGATGAGAATTTATTTTTGAAGCTTCTGGTAAATTAAAAAGAATATAGATTATTAAACTTATTAAATAATAAAAAATATATATATATATCCTGCTAATTAACTTTTAATGAACTTTAGTTCACCATTAAATCTCCGATGAAGCAGATTCTACAAAAACGTCTATATTAGACATTTTTGTACGTTTTCTTCATCATTTGATTTACTTGTACTCATTGTGTCTACTTCTATTGTTCAATTTAGATATGGTTTTCTTTTTTGTTTACAGATTTTTTTTAAATTATTTTTTAGCTTTGCTTTAAAGTTTAATTCTTGTTTTGTGACTTGTACATCTGTGGGTTAGAATAAAGTTGAACTAAAGGCTGCATCTGTTCTTTAAACATATTTGAGGGAAATATTCCTGAGAGATCCAATAATTTTGGGTAATTTTTATAATTTTTCAGCTGAATTAACTTTAACAGATTATTTAATAGTCATTAAAGTGACAACAGGCTTTCATGATAAAGCCGGCACCGTTTCTTAATTTTTTTAATCTTCACTGATTAAAAAAAAAGTACATCACATAAAATGTTTAAAAAATCGTTTCCACCCTCTGTGCCCCAGACCCGTCTGCCGGGATCGGGGTTCGGCCTTCATGAGCACGCAAGGCCGGGGTCCGGGTAACGGCCTTCTACGAGTCAGCCGCTCATATGATCCTCCGCCGTGACCAGCAGAGCTCAGAGCCCAAAGAGCATGCAAGGCTGGGATCCCGAGCCCCAAGTTGGCATCAGACTATGGTGTTATTGTTTTTAAAATCTTTAAAATAGATCGAGCCGCTGCTCCGAGTTCCGAGAAATTGCAAATGGCGGATCGGTGTTTTGAAAAGTTTTTGAAAAATCCAGTGACTCCGCCCCCTGACCAATCGATGGCTGACAGTGTTCGGACGTCACGTTTTGGTACCTGCTCGGCCCAGTTAGAACCACAGACCCAAGGGTCCTGAAAAAAGGAAGCGGTTCTACGTACTGTTACTAATGGAAAAGGGGCATAAGTGAGTTTCTTCCACCAACACAACCAGCACTAGTTTTGGTTTAGATGTTGCTCGACGTATTAACCCTCTAAGAACTAAACTGCATTTCTATGATCTACATATTTAGGCTCCTTAATAAATCAGTTCTGTCACAAAGTAAGCTTCTGAACAATTAAATAAAAACTTCAAATCACTCTTGCGTTCTTCTAGGAACGTTAACTCACAACTTTTTAAGTGGTTTTGATCAATAGTTCCCCAGTCCGTTTTAAAGGTTAGTCAAAGTTTTTCTACTAACTTCGGCTGCCTGTTTGACTAAGTTTCTGTCCAGTCTTTGTATCATAACATATTGTGCAGTTAAAGCTTAAACAAGTGTACCATTATGTTTGCTACATTGTAAATAATTGGTATTTTCATAAATTTGATGAAAAATGGGAACAAAGTCAGCCTTTGCACAGACTGCTGATTAAGAAAATGCCTGAAAAGCCAGTTTTTTTGATAGTCTTTGCAGTGTCTTGGCAAGGTCTTCAGGGGTGAATTAAAACCAAAGTAGGCTTCCCCTTAAATGTGATGTAATAGGTCCATGATGGTTTTGAGCATGCTAAAAACATTTGTAGTAAGCTTGTGGTGGTTTATCATGATGGCAGTTTGTTGGGATCTTGGGTAAAGTGTGGGGGAGTGTGGTGACATAACACAAGGTTTTGCACACAACAGCATGGATTAGTAATAGAACTGGCCAGACTGGCCTAGGCTATAACCATGGTTGTGTTACAGTTCATGGCTCAAGGTCATGAAAACAACCAGAAATGATGCCCATGTGTGTATCTTGAGCCGGTCTGAGAGAGTCATGCTAGGATGGGCAAGTAAAGAGTGGTGAGGATGCAGGAAAGCATCTCTGGAAGTGGAAAACGGGGAAGAGAAACCTATATGGTGATAACAGAGCATCATGCATGACTTCACACTGAAGAAGGTTTTTCTAATTTGCCATGATCTAATCATGTTGTAATCAGTTGTGTAGATTAAGTCAAGTCAAATTTATTTATAAAGCACATTTAAAACAGCAGCTGTTACCAAAGTGCTCAACAATAAGATCATTGCAGTAAATAAAAATAACAAGATGTAATTAAAAGCATAAAACCCCCACAAACAATGAGAAACAATGAAATACTAAATCTAATCATGCTGTGTTAAATGTCAGTAAAAACAGGTGTGTTTTTAGGAGAGATTTAAAAGCAGAGTAAAGTAAACTGTCTCTAATGCTGAGGGGCAGATTGTTCCAAAGTTTAGGGCCCATCACGGAAAAAGCCTAATCTCCTCTGAATTTCAATCTGGTTTTTGGTACAATCAAAAGCAGCTGGTCAGATGATCTCAGCACCCAAAAAGGAACATGTGGTTGAAGTAGGTCAGAGAGGTACAGGTATGAGGGTGCAAGGCCATTAATGCACTTAAATGTCAACAATAGAATTTTAAAATCAATTTTGACACATAGAGGGAGCCAGTGAAGAGAGCACAAAACTGGTGAAATACACTCAAACCTAGAAGTTCTTGTTAAAAGGCGAGCTGCAGCATTTTGAACGAGCTGGAGACATGAGACTGACACCTTACTGACCTTCATAAAGTGAGTTACAGTAGTCTAACCAGATTGTAACAAATGCGTGGACTATTTTTTCAAGGTCAACACAGACTTAAGCTTATATCTGCCTTAACTGGAAGAAGCTTTTTTGTAGAATAAAGTTATCCCTTTATTAAAATTAAAGTCAGAGTCTAAAACCATCCCGAGATTAGTAACATACTGCTTAAGATAAGGCTGAAGAGAGTCAAGATTTACAGGATCAGTGACAGGGGTCGAGCTAGGGCTAAATGCGATGACTTCGGTTTTCTGATTATTCCAACCAAAAAAATTATGCCATCCAAGCCTTGATGTCATCAAGACATTTTAACAGAGGATGAATGGAGCAGGAACTGTTGGGTTTCAAGGCCAGATAAATCTGAAAATCATCAGCATAACAATGAAATGAAAGGCCGTGTTTCCTCAGGATATATCCCAAAGGCAGCAGATAGATTGAAAATAAAAGGGGTCCGAAAATCGAGCCCTGTGGGACCCCACAGGAAAGAGGCACTGACGCAGATGCACCATTTCCAACCTTAACACAGAATTGTGTGTGTTGATTTAGATCCCCAATTATGTGGATCACAGAAAGCATAACGGGGTTGTCACTCAGTGTGAAGGTCTTAAGTACCTGGTTTTTGGTTGTAAAAACAAGAACCGCTTTAAAATTATACATTATTTTTCACTGTTACAGTCCATCTGCATGACTTGCCAATGTGGATGAAAAATGATTTTTGGTTTTACTTTAACGTTAAATGCCCAAATACTAAATGAAACACAGACAGACGAGGTTTTTTCAACATCATCCTCAACACACAGTAACAATCAGTTTGTGTTTGAAGGATATGAAAAAAAAATAAACCCCTGTATAGCAGCTGAAAAGTATACCATGTGAAGACTGGCATTGTTGGACTTTCAGCATCCACAAATACAGAAAAATATGACAAATGACTGAAAACTAAAAATTGTGCAGGTGGTTCTCTTTTGTGCTGTGGTTTTTGGGTCTCACATGAGAACACTATATCTTACAAATGAAACAGTTATTATATGATACAGTGTTAAATTGTTCCCTTCAGAGGAGAGGGCTTTGCTTG